ACTTTCAGCATGCTTCTCCCATCCTGGGAGGATCCTCGCAACACCCTTTATTTGGTGCTCCCTTCTCTATCTGAGCTCCCTTTTCCCCTAGCATGTGTGGCTGGCCTCCAAGCCATGGAGCAAACCTCCTGGTACTAATCTCACCAACTCTTGGGTGTTAGTCTCCTATTTTGTTACTTTAAGTTCCCCAGATGAATGCAATCTTTCTATGTCTATCCCTCTCTTTCTGACTCATTTCCTTAACATGATACCTTCCATGAAGTACCACTTGTATGTAAATTTTGTGACTTCGTCTTTTCTAACAGCTACATAGTACTCCATTGTGTAAATGTACCAAAGTTTCTTTAACCAGTCATCTGTTCTCGGGCACTCAGATTTTATCCAGATTCTGGCTATTGTAAAGAGTGCTGCAATGAACAAACAAGTGCAGATATCACTTCAACTATACTTTTTTTGGTGCTCATACCTTACTCCTGTCTCTGTGCTCAGGGGTCACTCTTGCAGGGCTTGGGCCATATGGAACCAGGATCAGGTGTGAGCAAGACCAGCAGCTCTCCAGCTCCTGTTCACTCAGGTAATTACTGGCCCAAGTGAGCCACTATGAAGAGTCCCAATGCATATTGTCAAGCAATTTTCTGGAGAAGTTTGACTAATTTATAGTCCTTCAAACTGTGTGAGTGTCTCCATTTTACCAACTTTCTTTTTCTTTTTGGGTCACACCCAGCGATGCTCAGGGGTTACTCCTCTGCACTCAGGAATTACTCCTGGCAGTGCTTGGGGAACCATATGGGATGCCGGGGATTGAACCTAGGTCAACCACATGCAAGGCAAATGCCCTACCCACTGTATTATAGCCCTATATTATTATTTTGATTTGGGGAGACACGCCCAGAGATGCTCAGGGACTTCTAACTCTGCACTTAGAAATTACTCCTGGCAATGTTCATATGGGATGCTGGAGATTGAACCTGGGTCAGCTGCGTACAAGGAAAATGCCTACCCTATGTACTATCGCTCTGATGCTTATTGTTGTTGTTGTTTTGGAGCTATAGCACAGCAGGTAGGGCGTTTGCCTTGCATGGGGCCGACCCGGGTTCGATTTCTCCGTCCCTCTCAGAGAACACAGCAAGCTACCGAGATATCTCACCCGCACGGCAGAGCCTGGCAAGCTACCCATGGCGTATTCAATATGCCCAAAGCAGTAACAACAAGTCTCACAATGGAGACGTTACTGGTTCCTGCTTGAGCAAATTGATGAATAACGGGAGGACAGTGCTACAGTACAGTTGTTATTTTGGGGGTCACGCTGGCAGTGCTCAGGGCTTACTCCTGACTCTACACTTGGGAATCACTTCTGGCAGTGCTCTGAGGACCATGTGGGATGCTGGGGATCGAACCTGGGTTAGCTGAATGCAAGGAAAGCTCTTTACCTGCTATAATATTGCTTCAGCCCCAAAGTTAATTATCATTTTTTTTGAGCCACACCTAGTGCTGTTCAGGGGCTACTCCTAATTTATTTATTTATTTATTTTTGCTTTTTGGGTCACACCCAGCCCATGCTCAGGGGTTACTCCTGGCTCTGCACTCAGGAATCACTCCTGGCGGTGCTTGGGGAACCATATGGGGTGCTGGGAATTGAACCCGGGTCGGCCGCGTGCAAGGCAAACGCCCTACCCGCTGTGCTATTGCTCCAGCCCCTTATTATCATTTTTAAGTGATATGATTCACTGGCCAATGTGAGGCTGGGGGATTGACCCCTGGGGCTCCCTGCACACATACCATCCTGGCTGCTCTGGGTCTGTGCGCCTGGAACTCTGCCATCTGGCACCTCCACAGGCAACTTCTGGCCACATCTCGGCCAAGTGTGCGAGCACCACAACCAAGACCAAACACCGCACCCAAGTGTGCGGCACCACAACCAAGTGTGTGAACACAACCACCACGCAAGTGTGTGAGCCCCACAGGCTCTGTAACACCACATTCAGCAGAGGGAAGGGAGGCTTGGAGAAGGTAAATGAATAGGCAGCCTAGATTTAGAGATGCTTAGATCCAAAAAAACAAAAACAAAAAGGATTTTTAAAGAAATGTGTGTGCACACACACGCATGCTGTTAGGTTCTGCTGCTGATATGGCAGAAATGTAAAAACATCTGTTGGCTTCTATGCTGATTGCCTGGAGGTTGAATATTTATCCATTTGATTATTTCTCTGGTACATGTCTATTTCTAAAATTTGGTCCTTTTGATCATTTGTCCATTTTTTAGTATCTGCTTGCTTTTTTGTGTTATATGAAGACAAAAAATATTTTTACCCCAATGTGTGTTTTATGGCATTGTTTCTAATAGCTAAACTATGAAAGAAAGTGAGTAGATGATTGTAGAGAGATGTGCTTCATTTATATAGCTATGTTTAAAAATTAAAAAGTGGGGGACAGAAAGACAGTACAGCAGTTTAAGATGCTTACCTGCTGAGGCTGATCCCAATTTGAGCTTAGCCCTGCAAATAGTCCCCCGAGTAGCACCAGGAATGACCCCTGAACACAGTTAAAAGAAAAAGATCCATGTTGGATGATTTCACTTCTACAAACAATGAGGAACAGACAAAGTAGACAAAATGAGATAAACTCGCAGCCACTAAGAACAGAATGTACGTTAACTGAGGAGATAGGGGATGTCCAAGCGGACCTGGGGGGTAAGTGTTCGCTTGCATGCAAGAGCCCAGAGTTCAGTCCCAAGCACTGTATGGTCCTCTGAACACCAATGGAGTGGCCCGCGCACAAGCCAGTAGTCACCCCAGTACCACCAGGGGTGCCACCAGACGTTCCCAAATCCCTCAACTGTCTTTTGCCAGAAGATATCCCCAAGCAAAGCACTGAGAATAGCCCCTGAGCACTACCAGGAGTGGCCCCACCACCAAATATAATTACTTTAAAGATAAAGGTGTGAAAGAAAATTTTATTTTTTTCTTTCTTTTTTTTTTTTACTTTTTGGGTCACACCCGGCAATGCACAGGGTTTACTCCTGGCTCTTCACTCAGGAATTACTCCTGGCGGTGCTCGGGGGACCATATGGGATGCTGGGAATTGAACTCGGGTCAGCCGCGTGCAAGGCAAATGCCTTACCCGCTGTGCTATCACTCCAGCTCCATGAAAGGAAATTTTAAAAAATAGTTTTAAATCATAAAAAAAAAGTCTAAAGAGGGGTTGGAGAGATAGAACAGTGGGTAAGGCATTGCCTTGTGTGTACCCAACCTGGCTTCAATCCCCAACATCCAATATGGTCCCTCAAGCAACTCCAGGAGTAACTTCTGATGGCAGAGACAGGAGTAACCCCTGAGCATCGCTGGGTGTGACCCCAAAACTAAAATATAAATAATAATAAATACATTTTTTTAAAAATAAGCCGCCCCTCTCGGAGAGCCCGGCAAGCTACTGTGAGTATCTTGCCCGCACAGCAGAGCCTGGCCTATTCGATATGCCAAACACAGTAACAACAAGTCTCACAATGGAGACGTTACTGGGCCCGCTCGAGCAAATCAGTGAACTACGGGAAGACAGTGCTACAGTGCTAGAAGCCCAACGAAACAGGGGAGATGCATTTAACCAAACACCCTATATTTTGCAATGATTCAGAAACATAATGATAGCAAGTCATTATTATAAGAAATGAACTAGCAACGGTTTCTACTGTTGAATCTTTGGAATTGGCACTTTAAACTTACAGTTCATCTGCATTGTTTGGTTTTGGACCCACGGCCGACTGTGCTCGGGGCTGACTCCAGGCTCTGTATTCAGGGATCACTCTTGGCAGTGCTCAGGGGACCATATGAGATGCCAGAGATCACACCCAGGTCGGCTTCCTTCCTTCGAGGCAAGTGCCCTCCCCACCTCCCCGCTGGTCCCACATCTACATTTGTGACAATGGCAAGCCAATGTACTTGGTGCCCAACAGCCACCAAGGGGTGGTTCCACCCCATCTGTCACCACAAAGCCTCAGATTTGGTTTGGCTCCAAGGAAAGGCAGAGGGAAAGGTTCCGATGGCCTCATTCATTGCGGTCTCCTTTCCCCCCACTGCCTCGAGAGAAAGGCCAAGCCCTGCCGACCTGCTGTTGGTCACCTTCCCCAGGCCCTCTGCCAGCGCTGGACCCGGTCCTGGAAGCCTGCGTCAGCTCCTCCCCCGACACCACCTGCTGTCTCAGACCCCACCCCCACCCCCTGGGTCAGCCCCACCCCCCACACCTGCTGGGTCAGTCCCCACCACCGCTTCCTATGTCGGCCCCTCCCCCCACCTCCTGGGTCAGCCCCCACCCCCACCTCTTGTGTCAGCCCGCTACATCCAACCCTAGTTGCCCCATCCGAACCGCTCACGCGTCCTCTCACACCTGGCCTGGGGTCCGTGGCATCTCCCCCGCAGCTCAGCTACCTGGCCACCCGCCCCTGCCACTTGCTCTTCTACGAAGCAACGTTTCTAAGAGCCGGCGCAGGGCAGGGCGGGCCTGGCCAGCGTGGCCTGTGGTCTTATCTACTCCTCCCCACCGTCTTGAAGGCTGCACCCACCATGCCCAGAAAGGCTGGCCTATCAGCCAGGGAGCACGGGGTGGGGTGCGGCGAGCTTCCCCCGGCCAGAGACGGGAGTTGTGGGCCCCTGAGGCTGCCCGCCTGGGACCACCGCGACGGAACCTGGGTTTTTCTGGGAAGAAATCCTCAGTCGCCTCCTCCCCGCAGGTCCTTTGCAGTCCCCCTCGCCCCGCCGGCGATCAGGGAGACTCTCCAGCCCCCTCCCCCCGGGAGATGGGGACCCCTCTTCGCCCCCCACTAGAGTGTCCGTTTGGGGATCCCACTTGGGGGTGTCACCTCCCTGCCCGGGACGACGGGGTGCATCTGGGCAACCCTGTTCAAAGCCCAGGGGAGCGGAGGGGCCGGAGGGAGGGGCGAGGCGGGGCGGGGCGGGGCGGGGCGGGCCGCTGCCATCTGACCTGTCAGGCAAAAGGGGAGGCGGGCAGCTGCCCGGCAGCACGTCGGACCGGCACTCCCGTGCCCACTGCGCGCGCGGGCACCATGAGCGGCAGAGTCGGGGACCTGAGCCCCCAGCAACAGGAGGCGCTGGCCAGGGTGAGGGGTTTGGCGGCGGGGAGGCTTGGGACGGGCCTGGACCGCGTGGCACCGCCGCGAGGAGCACCCTGGAGAGCGCCTCTGTGCGGGGGCTCGGACCCCAGCGCCCTCGGATAGGACACCGGACTGACAGCTTCACTGTCCACGCTGGGGCCCCGCGGGTCGCCCGGGTCCCAGCCCTGTGCGCTCCAGCCGGCGGTCCAGCCGGGTTCCTGGTCTCGGTCTCGGGGGCAGGGCGGCGCTGCCTTCGGGCTGAGCTTGGCAGGTTGGGGATTGCAACATTAGTTTGTTGGGTTTCTCCTTTAGGCTGGCAGACTTGCCAGGCCCAAACCTTTTCCCTATTGTTAGAGGAGCTCATTAAAGGGGAACGCAGGGTTCTGGGGTGGTGCCCAGACTGCCCTCCGCTGTCCCCAGCGTGGCGCAGGCCCTGGATAGATGCGTGTCTGCAGGCTTGGGTGCCGCTGGCTTCGCTGGCCTTGCAGGTGGCAGGAGGGTGCAAGGCAGGGACTGAGGATTGGGGTGAACTGGAGCGGAAGGAGCCGACAGCCCGGGCCATAGGTCACGCTGCTGTTAGGGCAGCTCAGGACTCACAGACAGGCACTTGGAGCTCCTGCCCTAAGGAAGGGTGGGTCGGGGAGGAAGGAAGCCGGGGCAGGGGCCCCTCGATGATTCTCCGTGAAGCAGACAGGACATCTCACAGTGGCCTTAAGGAGTCCCAGGCAATGGCTGTCTGGCCTCCAGGGAGGGACTGGGCACTCAGCTTTAGGTGACTTGTCCGGTCAGAGCATTACAATGCACAAGAGTTTGTTCTCGCTGGAGAGATGGTTCAGCGAGCACGGACTACACTTGGCTTGCACGTGGCCAGCCAGGGTTCAATCCCCAGCACCCCAGGTGGTCCCCTGAGCCTGCCCGGAGTGATCCCAGAGCGCAGGGTCCCGAGCACAGTGGGTGTGGCCCCAAACAAAGCAAGCATAGTTTATTCTCATCCTGTCCCTGCCAAGATTTAAAAGAAACAAATGTTATTTATCTTAATGAGGGGAAAAGAAAAAAAATGGGAAGAAGAGGGAGAGGACTCCCGAGATTCTGGACATCTAGACACATGGCCTTCAAGCCCGGGGCTGTGATGTCGCGCAGGTTGTGGGAAGGCTGAACCCAGGTCCATGGGCATATGGAGGGCAGGTACCAGTCTGCCTGTGGACAAGGCTGAGGGACACTGCTCTAGGCAGACACGCTCAGCCCGGTGGTCCAGCCAGGTTCCTGGTCTCGGGGGCAGGGCGGCACTGTCTTTGGACTGAGCTTGGCGAGTTTGGGATTGCAACCCGCCCCCATGGCCTCATTCATCCCAGTATCCCTCCCATCCCCCAACCCAGCAACTCCAGGAGTAACTCCTGAGGGCAGAGCCAGGAGTAACCCCTGAGCATCGCTGGGTGTGACCCCAAAACTGTCACTGTCTTCCCATTGTTCATCGATTTGCTCGAGCGGGCCCAGTAACGTCTCCATTGGAGATTTTGTTGTTACTGTGTTTGGCATATCAAATACATCACAGGTAGCTTGCCAGGCTCTGCCGTGTGGGCGAGATACTCTCGGTAGCTTGCCGGGCTCTCCGAGAGGGGCGGAGGAATCGAACTCGGGTCGGCCATGTTGGCTGCGTGCAAGGCAAACGCCCTACCGCTGTGCTATCGCTCCAGCCCAAAACTAAAAAAGAAATAATAATAAATACAATTTTTTGTTTTAATTTAGAAGTCCAAAGAAACTGAACTGGCCAATTCCTCCCAGCTTTTTCCAAGAATACTCTTGAAGCTGTGGGTTTGACTGCCAGACACATTTCTCCAGAGATTTTCTCCAGCTCACCCTCAGGCACACCCAGAGCCCACCCTTGAAACTTTCTCTTTATTTTTTCGGGGGGCAAGGAGGGCGCTGAGGCACAGCCCTTGCTCTTTCTCAAACAGTGCTCAGGGTTCCGGGGGCTGTTCCTGCCAAGGACCACCAGGTACCCTAAGGCTTCTGGGGCTGGGCCTGGGCATACTTCAAGGCTCAGTGGTTCTGGGGTTGAGCCAGGCCGGGGACAAGCACCCTAACTGCTGTCCCAGACCATAGCACACTCTTTCCCTTGCCCTGACTTTGAGTCCTTGTGTCCCTGGGCTGGGGTGACCTTGGGAAAGGAAGGTGTGCGACTGCCCCCTGCCTCCTCCCTCGGTCCCACGCCCCCAGCCTTAGTTTGCTCTTCTGAGGCACAGGGAGATGACTTCGATCCCTCCTGCTCGGGGGCCCTTCCTGAGGTCCAGGGAAGAAACTTCAGGATGCTGGCAGGGCCCAGGGGTGGAGGTGGCACCGTCCAGCCCTGCCCTCTCCCTCCATGCTGCCTCGGGAGCCCGGAGATCACCTGTTCAGCATGCAAGACCCACCCTCGGGGTTATTGGAGCAGCTGCCGTGGCCCCTGTTACTCATTTATACTGGAGTAATGATGACTCATCTGAGGCGCGTGAGCAGCACGCGGAGGCATGCTGCTTTTCAACAGCGGCACAAAAGCGAACGGGAGCTGGGTGGGTGGCTGGCCAGGCGGCCTCCTCACGCTCTGTCGGCATCTGTTTCTCGTCCCAGATTTGGCTTCACCAGCTGCCTTGCGAACCCAGCCTCGCTTTCAGCGCCCGTCTCCAGGAGACGGTGTCTTTTCTCTGTCTCCAACCCAGAGGCAGCCGTTCAGCAGCCCTCCTCTCCTCAGCCTCCTCTAGGTCCAGGCAAGGTGCCCCTTCCTCCCCATCAGTCCTTCCTTGAGCACCAGCCTTAGTTATTTCTGCAAAAAACCCGCTGACCAGGGCTCCAGGTAGTCGTGGCTTTGCCGGCCACCCCCATGTATCTGGCACCTGCTGCAGGTTAGGCCTGACGCTGTCTCTTACCTGCACAGACTCCTTTGACTCAGGTGTGTCATGAATCCCCACTTCACAGATGAGAAAACTGAGGCTCTGAGAGGTTTCATCACTTGCTTCCAAATCCGGACCCTCAAGAGGCAGCATCAGCACCACTCCCACCCTCGTCATCCCCAGGGGAACCCTGTGAGCCCCCAGCACTGCTGGTCTTAAGCACTGACCAGGGTCAAGTATTTTAGGCCTGCCCCCCCACCCACACCCAATCTTCTGAGCACTGTTGGGAGGCCCTTCCCCCACTTCCCGTAAAGGATGCACTATCAGGGACAGCATTCCTAGAGTGCTCTGTTTTCCAAACTATCTTTTCAAAACGAGAGAGGGCAGAGGTCACGTCAGACATGTAGAATGGGGGGCTCTTGGGGTCAGAACATCCAAAAGTTTGATTTTTTTATTTCTTTGTTTGGGGAGCACACCCAGTGATACACAGCGCTTCTTCCTAGCACTGTGCTCCTGGTAGTGCTGGGGGATGTGGGGTGTCGGGAATCAAACCTGGGTTGACCACATACAAGGCAAGTGCGCTGCCCGCTGGACTCCAGTCCCCGAAGCATTTGGAAAGGAGTCAGCCCTTCCTGCTGCGGGCAGTGGGTGCCCCTCCCCCCGTGTGGCAGAACCTTCTAAGCAGCTGCTTGCTGTGTGGTTCTGAGCTTGGGGATGCCCCCCGGGTCCTGGGATCCCCTCTAATCATCACATCCCTCCCCCTAGTTCCGGGAGAACCTCCAAGACCTGCTGCCCACGCTGCCCCATGCCGATGACTACTTCCTCCTGCGCTGGCTCCGAGGTGAGGCCTCTGAATCGGGTCCAGAGACAGGGACAGACAGCAGGGAGGGTAAGGGGTGTCTCAGGAAGCAGAGGGGAGACAGAGTGGGTCGGTGCAGAGAGTGATCAAGGACACTGGCTCTGGAATCGGCTTGAGGCTAGAACCTTCGTTCTCTCAATCAATAAGAAGTCCTGGCCTCAGTCTTCTCACCTGCAAAATGGGGCCGTGGCTGTTGTGAGGGTGAAGTGGGACAGAGGCGGGCGGATGTGAGGCTGGAGTGAATTGCCTCCAAGTTCTCAGGATGACAAGCCTGACCCAGTTGTGAGTCAATCATCACTAATTGTCTTCCGGATCTGCTTGCTGGGTCTCTCTCCAGTTTCTGGAAAGCAGGGCCGAGTCTCCCCACCCCCAAGGGAACCTGGCCTGGACCACATGCCCATTAGACAGTGCTGAAAGCGGATTTGACTAAAGGTAGAGGAAAGTCTTCCAGGAATTGCTACTGCAAAATAAAATAGGTTAATAGAACCATCCAGGGCTTAGGGGAAAATCTTATTTCGATTCAGCATACCCCACAGAAGAGAACTTGAACTTTGAGCCAGAAGAGATGTCAGAAATTAAAGGGAGAGAGGGTAGGACTCAAAACGGCGGCCTAGGGGCTGGAGCGATAGCACGGCAGGTAGGGCGTTTGCCTTGCACGCAGCCAACATGGCCGACCCAGGTTCGATTCCCAGCATCCCATATGGTCCCCTGGGCACCGCCAGGAGTAATTCCTGAGTGCAGAGCCAGGAGTAACCCCTGTGCATTGTTGGGTGTGAACCCCCCCCCAAAAAAAACAACGCTGGCCTATAGGAAGCTGGGGAGAGGACTCATATGATGGAGCACAAATGTGGCAAGCATGGGGCTCCGAGTTCAACCCCAGTATCATGTGATCTCCCAAGTGCCCCTGGATATAGTCCTGGTGATCTCCAGCACTGATGGGAAGGCCCCCAGCCCCAACTTACAACGGATATAAACGCTGGCCGGGGCTGTAGAGTAGGTAGGGCATTTGCCTTGCATGCAGCCAACCTGGGGTTCCATCTTCAGCATCCCATATGGTTCCCCAAGTCTGCCAGGAGTGATCCCTGAGCACAGTTGGGTGTGTCCTAAATGCAAAAAAAACGACAACAAAGAAAGAAAGATGTGAGGATAGAGAAAGGGAGAGGCACATGCTCAATGGTGAAGTAAAGGTAAAGGTCAAGGTAAAGGCCCTCCCGTTGATCGTCGATTTGCTCGAGTGGGCCCAGTAACGTCTCCATTGGAGACTTTGTTGTTACTGTGTCTGGCATATCCAATACATCACGGGGAGCTTGCCAGGCTCTGCCGTGCGGGCGAGATACTCTCGGTAGCTTGCTGGGCTCTCCGAGAGGGGCGGAGGAATCGAACTCGGGTCGGCCATGTTGGCTGCGTGCAAGGCAAACGCCCTACCGCTGTGCTAGGCAGGTTTAATTGAAACTCATTTAGAAAGATGTGAGGGGAGAGAGAGAGAGAAGCACGTGTTCTAGAGAAGTCCAAGCAAAGAAACACAGAGGAGAAAGTGAGACACATATTCCAGGGAGAACACGGGCTTGAGGAGCAAGACTTTCTGGGTCTTATTTAATTTCATCCTTTCAACAAGTGTGGAAAAAAAACCATTATTTACACTTAAGAGATTACCAAAAAAAAGGAAAGAAATAAAAGAAAATGAAAACAGATATAGGGCTAGGGATGTGACTAGTGGTAGAGCTCCATTTCTTTTTTATTTTTATTTTGGCTCTTCTGGGTCACACCCAGTGATGCTCAGGGTTACTCCTGCCTCTGCACTCAGGAACAACTCCTGGCTGTGCTGGAAGGACCATCTGAGATGTTGAGGATCAAACCTGGGCCGAGTGTGTGCAAGGCAAACACCCAACCCACTATACTATCACTCTAGCCATGCAGCATCAGTCTTGCATGTGTGGGCCCTGGGTTCAATGCCCAGCACCATATAACCAAAGAGAGAGGGAGATTCTGGGGCTGAGGAAGTAGATCCTTGGTAGAGCACTTACCTTTCATGAATGAGACTCTGGGTTTGATCTCCCAACACCACACACACACACACACACACACACACACACACACACACACAATCAAATACAAAACTAAGGTTCAGAAGGGGCAGTGATTTGCTTGAGGTTTCTACGCAAATAAAACTAGAATTCAAGCCCAAACCTGTCTGACGAGCTGAATCAGCCCCCAGCACCATCAGTGAGAACAGGCATGCTGGCTCTCCCTCTCTCCCTCTTCCTCTCTCTCTTTCTCCCTCTCTCCTTCTCTCCCTCCCCCCAATCTCCTAGAACAGCATTTTCAATCTTATCTGCCTACTAATCAGCAAAAAATGTTTGGCTAGGATAAGCGTTTAATTTATTTGTCATTTTAAAACTATTCTTTTTTTAATGGGGCCAGAGAGAGAGAGTTTGGTAATTCGCCTTACACAGGACAGACCCCTGTTAAATCCACACATGATCCCTGGGCCTCACCAGAAGGGATCCCTGAGCACAGAGACGGGAATAAGCCCTGAGCACCACCAGGTGTGGCCGACATCACACCCCCAATACTGTGGTAAATAATGTTTTCTATTTCTGCCAAACTTTCTGAACCATTGCTCCTATTTTTACCAGAGTTTGCAGGTGTAAAAAGGTTTAAAAATCATTGCTCTAGAGGGTTGAAGATCCTTCCATTTTGTTTATTTATTTATTTCATTATTTATCTTTGGTTCGGGCTGGAGTGATAGCACAGCCGTAAGGTGTTTACCTTGTGCGCAGCTGGCCAGGCCAAGCCGGGTTCGATTCCTCCGCCCCTCTTGGAGAGCCTGACAAGCTACCGAGAGTATCTTGCCCGCATGGCAAAGCCTGGCAAGCTACCCATGATGTATTTTATATGCCAAACACAGTAACAAGTCTCATGATGGAGACGTTACTGGGCCCACTCGAGCAAATCAGTGAACAACGGGAGGACTGTGACCATGACTGTGATCTTTGGTTCGGGTATCAGATCCAGTGGTGCTCAGGACAAGGCTTGGGGAACCATACGGAGTGCCAGGGAATCAAAGCTAGGCCAGCTGCCTACAGGGAAAGCACTTTCCCCACTGTACTATCCTCCTGACCCCTATTTTTTTTTTTTGGTTGTGGGGAGTCACACCTGGTGAGGCTCAGGGCTTACTCCTGGCTCTGTACTCAGGGATCACTCCTGGTGGTGTACAAGGGGCCTATAGGGGGTGCCTGGGAGCACTATCTTGCTGGGTCCTCGTTTGCTTAATCTGTCTCTCCATTTTTTTGTCTGTCTGTCTGTCTGTCTGTCTGTCTGTCTGTCTCTCTCTCTCTCTCTCTCTCTCTCTCTCTCTCTCTCTCTCTCTCTCACACACACACACATACACACACAGGACCTCTCATTCTTGGAAGTGTCCCCAAATAAATGATCAGTGCTCGAAAGACTAGGAAGAAGAACAAAATTCCCTCGATTCAAAAGAAAAACTGGAATTAGAGTTTCACTGAGCAGAATTCTTGCCTCCGTGATTCTTTAAAAAGCTTCAGACTATGAGAGCTCAAGGTCCTGAATTCAGGCTTTGCAGGCTGAGCGGTGGGTTCGCCCTGCACCCAGCTCCACAAGACCCCATGAGCACTGCTGGCAGCAGCTACTTGAGCACCCCTAGTCTGGTCTCCCCTGTATATTCTCGGGGTTGCCAGGAGGAAATTTCTGCTTATTCAAAAAGCAGTCTCAAGCCTCCTCTTCCCTAGGCTCTTCTTGCAGCTCGGGACTTTTTTTGGTTGGCTTTGGGCCACACCTGGTGATGTTCAGGGGTTGCTCCTGGCTCCGGACTCAGGAATCATTCCTGGTGGTGCTCAGGGAACCATATGGGATGCCAGGGATTGAACCCTGGTTGTCTGCATGAAAGGCAAGCACTTTCCCCACTATACTCTCTCTCCGGCCCTGCAGCTCGCAACTTTGACCTGCAGAAATCTGAGAACATGCTCCGAAAGGTGAGCCGCACCTGTGGAGGGTCCTACACCCCCCCCACCCCACCCCGCGTGCAACCCACAGGCACCAGCCACAAAGGGTGGGCGGCCGCCTTCGCTCCATCCTGTGTTGAGGTTTCTTCTCCCGTTCTCCTCGGATCCCCTTTATCTTCAGCCCTGGGTGACCCCGGGTCCCCGTCCCAGTGTCCCCCTTCCCACCCCCTCCGTGATTTGAGGGGTGCCCTGGCAGGACTATTAGCCATGGGCCCTTGAGGCCAGCGGTAGCTGACTCCAACGCTCGCCGTGTCTCTCCAGCACGTGGAGTTCCGGAAGCAACAGGACCTGGACCACATCCTCTCGTGGCAGCCCTCCGAGGTGAGCCCCAACATCCCCCCTTAGGTGTCCCCCACCAGCCGCCCCGCTGAGCTGGCTGAACGGTCCCTTCCCTGCACAGGTGGTCGAGCGGTACGACTCCGGCGGGCTGTGTGGCTATGACTATGACGGCTGCCCCGTGTGGTTCGACATCATTGGGACCCTTGACCCCAAGGGGCTGCTCCTGTCAGCCTCTAAGCAAGAGTTGCTCCGGAAGCGCATCAAGGTCTGCGAGATGCTTCTGCAGGAGTGTGAACGGCAGAGTCAGAGGGTGAGCGGCCAGGAACAAGGGCGTGCAGCCTGTCCATGTGGGGGGCTCCAGGACGGGCTGGAGAGGGGAGACCCCCAGCACCGCCTACTCCCCATTTTTCAGCACACCCGGGGCCCTGGTGCCGCGTGGTGTCCCCAAAAACTCACCCATGGACTTCAAACACGCAGGTGACTCCCATGGATGTTCCCCCCTTCCCCCCAACCTGGGGTGAGCTTCTGACCTTGGGTACCGTGAAGGGCCCAGCTCTGTTTTTTGGACAGTGCATGGTCAGCTATGCTGGTATAAAGGACGTTGGTCCCACCCCCCACCAACGTAAGCGTCATTACCCCAAGCACCTGAGGGGGGCGCCATTGCCTTGGGCATCCTGCAAGCAGTGACCGCTGGCAATGACCAAGTTCCCTCATGGATCTCTAGAAGCTACTCTGGAGTCACAACAAAAAAAAAGATTAAGCCCTGCAGGTTCAAGGCTTCTGAGACAATCAGAAGCCACGCCCCCCTTTGCCTCTCCTTGCCTGGTGTGTTCTGCCTACACCCTTCCCTAGGATCTTTTTTTTGGGGGGGGAGGTTGAGGGGGGTTTGGACCACACCTGACAGGCAGTGCTCAGGGCTTACTCCTAGTTCTGTGCTCACTTCTAGCTCAGGGATCACTCCTGGCAGGGCTCGAGGGACCATATGGGGGGGAATTGCACCTGGGGTGACCCTGTGGAAGGCAAATGCCCTACCTGTTGTGCAATCTCTCCAGCCCCACTTTCCCTCGGAATTTCAGTGACAAACCCTTGGTTGTGTGGGGCTGACTGAGCTGCAGGCGGAACCATTCTGCCACAGTGGGATGATGTGGCTAGTGACTGGCCCCAAGTGAGGTGGCTGAGGTTGGCCAAGGGCATCCCCTACTGAGATCCACAACAAGCAAGAGGGAACGACAAGAGCATCTGGTTCCAACAGACGTGCCTCGCTGATGTTCCAGGCTGGAAACAACATCTCCCACCCCCCAGACATACTGATCTGGGCCATCATGATGGTGATATGTTGGTGATACTCCTACTAGTAACATCTGATATTTTAACCAAGGACTGGCCGCGCCCCCGTGTGTTAGCACAGCAATTCCATCCCAACGAGGAATTTGCCCCACATTACAGATTAAGAAAGTCAGGCCAGGAAGGGTTCTAAATTCACCCCAGCCTGTCAGCTGTGGATCCGCAGATGCTGAACAACAGTGAAGTTGACTAATTTCACGAGGCGTCTGTAGGAGGCCCCGGGGCCTGGGCCCTGAGGCAGAGTCTCCTCAAATCCGACATGGAGCCGTCTGTTGGGCTGTGGGCAGCCGGAGGTGGGAGGAAGAGTCTCTCTGGACAGCTGCTCTAGGCTGGAGCTGCGGCCTCACTGGGGTCTCTGCCCTGTCCCCTGCAGCTGGGCAGGAAGATCGAGACCATGGTGATGGTGTTTGACATGGAGGGGCTGAGCCTGAGGCACCTGTGGAAGCCAGCGGTCGAGGTCTACCAGCAGGTAAGGTAGGCAGCTGGCTCGGGGCCATAGGGAGTCACTGCCCACCCCGTCTTCCAGTTCAGAGAGGAGGGGGACGCCCCCTGGGGCCCCCACACAAGAGAAGCAAAGTTGACCTGGGGCCCATCCTCCAGGGAGAAAGAGGAGCAAGGTACCACGGGTGGGGGCGGGGATGGGGGTGAGGGCTGCGTTCACAGCAGGGGGGCAGTGCAGAGGGGTGGGGCCTGGGGCCCAGGGGGCTCTTGTCTCAGGGCAGCAGTCACTGACATTTGGGTGCAGCTGGAGGGGGAACCTGGCCTCAACCAGACTTGTCTTGACCGCACACAGTTTTTTGCCATGCTGGAAGCGAATTATCCTGAGACGGTGAAGAAGTTATTTGTCGTTAGAGGTGAGAGCATGAAGGCACATGGCTGCCTGGGGGAGGGAGGGGCATGAGGAAGGGAGGAGACAGTGAGTGGAAACGTTGCTAAATTCAGGGACTGTCCAATCAGCCTTTGTGAGGGGCTACTTCCCCCCGCCACCCCCCACCCCCTGCCACACACACACTCCTTCTGTCCTTTGCAGAGCTAAAAGTACATTCCTATACTTCTGGAATATACTGGCACGTGGCAGGAGCGTTCAAATAAGTTATGTGTCTAAATAGGCACTGTGATTTTCCTTCCTTATTTGCGTGTGAAGACTAACAGATGGTCCACGGGCCACACTGGTGGGCAGGCCCACTTTGAGCCCGAGTGGTGCTCAGCCTTCCATGAGGAGGTGGGTGGACAGCGCCTGGCCCTAGGATGCGGAGATCCGTTTTCAAGTTTCAGTGGTTTTGTGACCTTATGCAAGTTGTTGGATTTTGGAATGGGGGCTTGGGATAATGCATCTGGCAATGCTACTCCTGGCTCTGCACTCAGGAATCACTCCTGACAGTGCTCCGGGGACCCTATGGGGTGCCGGGAATCAAAGCTGGGGCAGCTGCTTGCAAGGCAAGCGCCCTCCCCGCTGCACTATCTCTCCATCCCCTGTGACGTTGTATAAGTTTCTAACCTCATGGAGCCTCAGTTTTCCTGTTCTGTAAAATGGAAGTGCAATGGCACCATCCCCGTAAGAGAGCTGTGGGGCTCAGGCGACCTTCTGTTGCAAAGGCATCACGCAGTGCCTGCTCCACAGAAAACACCTGGCAAACGGCAGGGACTCGGGCGGGCCACGAGGGCTCGTGCACTTGCCCCTGAGAGGATTCCGTGGCCGTCTGAGGACTCTGGCTGTGAGGCAAGAGGCATCGTGGGAGAATCGACACTGATTCAGCCCCAGAGCTGAGCCGAGGAGGCGGGCATTGGGGGGAACCAGGCCTGTGCCATGCATGTGGTGTTGAGTGAGCTCTCCACTTTCTAGTTGACATCACTCAGACCCTGGTGAGTGACTGGTCAAAGGTTACCTAGCCGGAAGGAACAGAATCTGGACCTGTCCAGCTCCTGACCAGCCCCAGTCCTTGGTGTCCGGATCTTCTCTGGCCCTGCTTTCTGAGGGGGTTTCCTGTGTTTCAGCTCCTGCGCTGTTCCCTGTGGCCTTCAACCTGGTCAAGTCGTTCATGAGTGAGGAGACACGGAAGAAAATAATGATTCTGGGAGGTGAGTGCCTTAGACCCCATCTGTGCCGTCTCCACGCCGGGATGCAGCGGTCAGGGCTCAGGCCCCGGGTCTCATCTCTTCAGACACTGACCTTGACCTCACTCAGAAGCCTTTGTGGGCTGGAGCAATAGCACAGAGGGTAGGGCTTTTGCCATGCACGTGGCCAACCCGGGTTCAATTCCCAGCATCCCATATGGTCCCCCGTGCACTGCCAGGAGTAATTCCTGAGTGCATGAGCCAGGAGTAGCCCCTGTGCATCGCCGGGTGTGACCCAGAAAAGAAAGAAAAAAGAAAGAAGAAGCCTTTGGCCCCTTGGAGGAGAGGTGCCAATCGCAGACCAGAGGCTGGGTGGCCTTATGAAGCTCTTGGGTGTTCTCAAGAATGGGCTTCCTGGAGGGATGGGTGTTTGATCATTGTGTGATTGTAACCTAGTCATGAAAGCTCACGGTGATTCAATAAAATTAAAAAAAAAAAAAGAATGGGCTTCCAAGGGACCGAGTTCAGAATATGTCCAGTCCCCTCACTGAGTAGGGTCCCGGCTACACCCTGCCAAGCCTCCCTGAGCCCCTCAGAACATCCCTTCACCCTCCCCTCCAGGCAACTGGAAGCAGGAGCTGGTCAAGTTCATCAGCCCTGACCAGCTGCCCATGGAGTTTGGGGGGACCATGACAGACCCCGATGGCAACCCCAAGTGCCTGACCAAGGTACAGCGTGCCCCGGAGGTGGGGGCAGGGAGCTGGCCCCGCTGTACTCCTGCTCACCCACCCTCACCCACAGATCAACTACGGGGGCGACGTGCCCAAGAGCTACTACCAGCAGAACCAGGTGAGAGTCCAGTATGAACACATGGCCACGGTGGGTCGCGGCTCATCCCTGCAGGTGGAGCACGAGATCCTGTTCCCCGGCTGTGTGCTCAGGTAGGCACGGCGGCCCCCAGGGACCCTGGGCACAGCTGGGCGGTGCCCGGAGAGCCCTCACAGTGGCCCCGTTGCCCCGCAGGTGGCAGTTCGCCTCGGAAGGGTCCGATATCGGCTTCGGGGTTTTCCTGAAGACCAAGATGGGGGAGCGGCAGCGGGCCGGGGAGATGACGGAGGTGCTGCCCAGTCAGCGCTACAATGCCCACATGGTGCCCGAGGACGGGAGCCTCACCTGCGCGGAGGCTGGCGTGTGTAAGGCCTGTCCCCTCTGTCTGTGGGTGGACGCGCGCCCCTCCTCACGGCCCTGCCACCGCCAAAAAATAAAGAGGGGCCGGGAGAGAGCATGAAGGGTTGGAAGACTGGGATCCCGGGTTCCATCCCCGGCACTGCCAGGAGGGACCCTTGAGCCCTGAGCTGGGATAAGCCCACCCCACCGAAGAAGAAAGAAAGAGGGAAGGGCCCGAGAGATAGGACGGCAGGGAGGTGGCTTGCCTTGCACATGTCTGACCCGGGTTCGAGCCCCAGAACCATATGGTATTGTGAGCCTTCCCAGGAATAAGCCTGAGAGTCTGGCCTAAAAATCCAAACCAAAAAAAAATAAAATGGGGTTGGAGTGATAGCACAGCGGGTAAGGCGTTTGCCTTGCATGTGGCCGACCTGGGTTCGATTCCCAGCATCCCATAGGGTCCCCCCCAGCACCGCCAGGAGTAATTCCTGAGTGCAGAGCCAGGAGTAACCCCTGTGCATCACTGGGTGTGACCCAAAAAGGAAAAAAAAGTCCAAACAAAAAAATGGAAGGAAGGAAGGAAGGAAGGAAGGAAGGAAGGAAGGAAGGAAGGAGAAAAGGAAGGAAGGACAAGAAATTAGAAGAGAAAGTCAAGGCACCCTCGCCATGCCTCAGTTTCCCCGTGCATGATGGGGAGACAGTCCCTTCTGTCCCTTTCTCAGAGGCCACTTGGCTTCTGAGAAAGTCCTCGGTGCCAGCCTGGCCCCTAGAAGGCCAAGAGCCCACAGGGCATTCATTCATTCCCTTAGCACGGCGTTACCCAAGACACTGGGCTGAGCAACGGGCCGGTGGCCAGGCCATTTCCAAGGGTCCCAGGTGAGCAGGGGTGCAGCAGCCTGGCCTTGCCGACCTCCTCTCTGTCCTTGCAGATGTTCTGCGCTTCGACAACACCTACAGCCTGATGTTTCCCAAGAAGGTCAGCTACACGGTGGAGGTGCTGCTCCCGGACAAGGCCTCTGCAGAGAAGCTCCACGAGGGGGGGGGCCCGGCCCCATGAGGGCCCGCCTGCCTGGCGCCCCTGCCTGCCCTCCCCAGCGAGGTGGCGGACCTCCTTCGTCCAGCCCACCCTGCGTGTTGGCATGGGCCCCTGGCATGCCAGAGCGGGAGGGGTCCAGCCGGGGGAACTTTCCTTGACTTGCTCCTGAGGATTGCCCTGGTCTCCCCCTCACCTGGCGCCAGGCACGGGGCGGGGAGGCCCAGCTGCAGGCCTGAAGCCCCCTTCTCTGCCTGGAGGGGGTCAGGGTGGCCGGAGGCAGCTGGGCGGGGACAGCCCCGGGTCTCAGCGCCGCCTGGACAACCTCGCGGGCCCAAGGCGCTTTTGGAAGGGCAAAAACGTGTGACCCATGGCGGAGGGGCCTGAGACTCTCAGGGACCTTGCACCCCTCCCCCCTGCCGTGCCCATAAGAGCTCCTGTGGCGTGGAAGGTGCCGGAAGGTGGAGGGAAGCCGCCCTCCCTGACTTGTGTCTCTGCGAGGGCACAGCTGAGGGGCAGCTGTCATGCTCAGCGCCAGCCGGGAACAGCGTCTGTCTCTGGGGCTCTCCAGGTGCCCACCTGCCACACAGGGGGAACTGTGGCCAACAGCACGCCCACAGCAGCCCTCGCCAAGAGAGCGGCCGAGCGGGTTGTGGCCAGGTTGCCTCCCCACTCTGTCCCCGCCCAGCCTCTGGTGGAGCCACTGGCCGCCTGACCCACCCGCGGCTACTGCCCAGCGCTCCTGAACCACCAACTCACAGGGCTCTGCTCGGCCGCCCCCAGACCCGGGTCCCTCACACCCCCACCGGGGTCCGCCCACCCTCGGGTCCTGGGCCTCATTTTCTCAGGCTTCTCCATGCCCGTTGGGGGGTGTGAGGCCCGGGGAAGCGGGGTCTTCTCGAACCCTCCGTGGCACTAGGTTTGGCTGTTTGGAGTCTGAGTAGGGGCCGGCGGCTCTCACAGGCATCTTAAATGACATTAAAAGAAATAAATGCCCCAAACTGGTGCCACAAGGCCCTGCTGCTCCAGCAGTGTCTGTGTCTTGTTATTCCGTTTTGAGGCCACACCGGCCATGTGTCACTCCTGATGTTGGAGGCGGGGTACAGATGTGGTACCTGAGAGCAAACCTGGGCCACCCGTATGCAAAGCATGTGCCGTAGCCCGCTGAACCATCTCTCCCTCTGTATCCCTCCCTCCCTCCCTCGCTGCTCCTCTCTCTCTCCCTCTTTCTCCCTCTCTCCCTCTCTTTCCCTCTCTCCTCCTCTCCCTTTCTCTCCCTCTCTCTCTTCCTCTTTCTCCTCCATCTCTCTTCCTCTCTCATTTCTTTCTCCCCCTTCTCCCTGTCTCTTGCTTACTTTCTCTCTCTCTTTTTCTCTCCTCTATCTCTCCCTCCCTCTCCCCCCCTCCCTGGTCCTCCGGCAAGTTTGAGGCAATGCCCACTTGACCGAGACCAGAGAGAGGCTGGAAGGGTTGGGGCGTGGGCTTTGCTGTGAGAGCCCCAGCTCCGATGCCTGGTCCTTGCGAGGTCCCCCAAGCACCAACAGAAGCCAGCCCTGAGCAACGAGCCAGGAGTGGCCACAGAGCAGGGGTGTGGCCCAAAGACCAAAAAAGGAAAAAGGAAAGGACCCCATCAGACATCCGGGGAGTGCTTCTCGCCCCAGAGGTGACAGGCTCCGCCCCACCCGTGCCCCCCAATACAGCCGTCCCAGAGACTGTCAGATCTGAGCAACCAAGACACTCAGGGGTCCCAGAGCCACCATCCCACTGCCCTGGGCAGGCCCTGAGCGTGGCCAGCTGGGTGGGGAGGACACTGTGCTTCCCCCCCGCCATGGTCCTCAAAGAAGCTCCGGGTTCCTCCCTCCACCCTCTGAATCCAAGGAGTCCCGCAGACTTCCTCTAGCTGTGATCACAGCTCAGTTCTTTTACACAGAGGGGTGGGGGGCGGGTAGGAAGTCCAGAGGGGGGGTCCGCTGTGAGTGCTACGCCAGGAGGGCAGGACCCCCTGCAGAGGTGCTACAGGGCATCCTGCCTGGTTAGGGGGCACTTTGAGACCTTGGTGGGGGTGTCCTTCCTCATTGGAACTTCACTCTGTCTGTCTCTCTGTCTGTCTCTGACTCTGTCTCTCTTTTTGGAGGAGGGGAAGGAGCCACACCAGGCTATGCTCAGGACTTCCTCCTGGCTCTGTGTTCACCCCCCTACCCCCCCCCCCCCCCACACACACACACACTCTCTCTGTGGTGGTCTCAGGGGGCCATGAGTGGTGCTGAAGCGGAAGCGGATGGAGGGGCGGGGGAGTGCAAGGCCAGTGCCCACGCCCTGTGAACTCTCTTGCCTCTCGACAAAAACAAGTGAATGCCAGGCAGGAGCCCAGGGAGGGCCGACCGGGCTGACGTTTGTTCCTCTGTCCATTTATTCATGGCCTGTGAGGGCGGCTCAGTGGGAGTCGCGGCAGGCCCCAGGGACAGAGCCGGCTGTGCCAGCAGGAAGCTGGCCGGGTCTCAGGGCGGCCGATGACCTGTGAGCGAATGGGCATATCCTCAAGATGTGTGCAGGGAGGGGCAAGAGGTGAACTGGGTGCTGCGGGGGTGGGGCGGGAGGCACCCAGAAAGATCAGATGTGCTGTGCCCAGGGCCAGCCAGAGGGAGGGTGCGAGGGGGCGGGTGTTCTGGTGGCGGGGAGCCTCCCCCACAGTGGGGCGCCTGAGGCCACTGCCAGGCTGAAGGGCTCTTGGGAGGTGCTGGTCATGGCTCCCCAATGTTTGCCACCTCTTTGTGAACAACTGTGTACACATTCGTTGTTCACGAAGCCGTTTTATAACGCAGGTTACAAATCCCAGCCTTGCTGCGGGTCAGGAAAGAATGCCGCAATCCTGGCAGGGGGCCACGGAGCAGAAACTTGCTCAGAACGTACCCAGCTGGAAACACCCAGGTCTCCTCTGGCCGAGGCCTGGAGGCGCAGCCTGCCCTTCCCAGGGCCTTCCTTCCTAGAGGCCCCCCAAGTCTTCCAGGAGGGTGGGGGTCAAGGTTAGAAAGCCCTACTGCAGGCCCGCCCTCAGGACCCCACAACCCTTCATTCCATTTCATCCACGCCTAAGAGCCCCAGCCAGAGAGAACTTGGCTACTGGAAGATCTCCGCACTCCACAGTTGCACGGCCTGTTGACTCGTCCCCCGCAGCAGACAAGCAGCTGTGACCCCCTTTTATAGGCCAGGAAACCCAGGGATAAAGTCGAGCTGTCCAGGGTCTGGAGCAATAGCAAAGCGGGTAGGGCATTTGCCTTGCACACGACCGACCTGGGTTCGATTGCCAGCATCCCATATGGTCCCTCAAGCACTGCCAGGAGTAATTCCTGAGTGCAGAGCCAGGAGGAACCCCTGAGCATCGCCGGGTGTGACCCAAAAAGCAAAAAAAAAAAAATAGTCTAGCTGTCCAGTGGCAGAGATGACCGGCACCCTGGATAGCTGCTGGGGGTCAGGGGCCCTGCCCGCCCCCGGTGGATGTGGGCAGGTGACCTAGGATGGAGATACAGGACGGGAAAAGGTGTGGAGCTTCTTTGGGGTAGGGAGTGGGAAGTCTGGCAACAGCTGCCTAGACATAAGTGCACCGTTACCACCACCGGCCCTGGGTGCCTGGCCCTGGGGGGAGGCTGAGAGCTTTGCCCCCAGATCACCAAGGAGAAGGGAGGTGCTCAGGACGGGAAGTGACGTGGTAAAGAGAAGACACAGGCTTGGGCCCAGATGCCCTGTGCAGGCGGGAGCTTCACCAACCCAGTGACCTGCACGTTTGCTGCAGCTTCTGCGCCGGAGACTAGTGGGGCGCGATTCCACATTCAGCCACTAGGGGCCAGAGTCGAGTCATACCTCCGTCCTCAGTGTCCATCCCCCCATCCCTGACCGGCACTGGGCAGTGGGGGGGAGGAGGGAGAGGCTACATTCATCGGGCCCTGGTTGTCAGTGGGGTGGTCGGGACTGGCAGGAGGAGGTGGTCTGGACCGGGTTCCGGCCAGGCTCTGCCACTCACTGGCCTGCTTCTCAATCCATCTGACCTTCTCTCTTACCTGGATCCCTGAAGGAGTGCAGGACTCGCCCTGGACTCCACTTCATCCAGCTCCTTCCTGCCTCCCCACATGAGCTGGTGCCTTACCCTCAGGCGAGACCCGCTCTCCAGGCTGGTCCTCTAAGGCCTCGGGGGTCTCTGAAGCCTTCCCCAGTCAGTTCCTTAGCAGCTTCAGGTCCATGTCCCGGCCTGGACCACTGCTCATCACATAACATCACATAACAGAGTCTACCGTGAGGCTGTTCCCTTGAGCTCCCAGCTATCCTGCCAGCTTGTTTATCTGCAATGACAGCTCCTGCAGCCCAGTCACCCCTTCTACAGGGGAGGAGAGAGCGGGGGATTTATTGTTCCACAGCGGTGGCAAGGCTGGAATTCGGGAATGCAGGGCCATGTGCTTTCCCCATCCACCCACCTCTGAGCTTGGGTTAGACCAGGAGCACAGACAAAGGGCAGAGTCTGAGCCTGTGATTCAGCTCCTTGGAGGGGTCCCAGGAGAGCACAGGGTGGGCTCACTCATCTGTGTGCTCAGCCTGATAGTACCCACCAAAGCGAGTGGGGGGCGGGGGGTAAAGGTGAGATGAAGGGAAAGCACCTCATTGGTCCTTTTCAGCCCCTCACTATCCCTACAGCACTGTAGCACTGTCCTGTTGTTCATCGATTTGCTTGAGCGGGCAGCAGTAACATCTCCATCGTGAGACTTGTTGTTACTGTTTTTGGCATATCAAATATGCCATGGGGAGCTTTCCAGGCTCTGCCATGTGGGCAAGATACTCTTGGTAGCTTGCCGGGCTCTCTGAGAGGGACAGAGGAATCGAACCCGGGTCGGCCGTGTGCAAGGCAAATGCCCTACCTGCTGTGTGATCGCTCCAGTCACTATCCCTATAAGAAGGGGAAAATTATTAGCCCCAAATGATAGAAAGAAAACGGAGATTTCTGGCTAGAGAGACAAGTCGAGGTCTAAAGTTCTTGCTCTCAA